GGGGGGGGGGGCACTGGAGCCAATACTATACCATCATGATACCATTCCATACCCTTGTCCTCCAGATCTAATCGCAATCGTCTTACCAAATTTGGACTTCATAATTTCCCTACTGGGAGTATTTTGTCTGTCTATGCTCGGAATTACCTTCCCGGCATTAATGGAGGTATAACCGATGAAGTTCCACCTCGCCTACAAGTAATGGACTCATCAGTCTTGAAATTGAAAGTTGTTTTATTTTATTTTTTGGACAGATGTGCACTCACTACGAGATCGGCTACGGGAGGCTGAAATGGAAGCTATTGAAAGACATATTAATCGCATCGGTCGGGGTCTTCGTCCTGGTTGTCGGGCTATGGACGAATATTGTGATCCTCACCGTGTAAATCAGACGTCGGTTTATTTTATGCTCCTGCTCGTGCGGCATTGTAAAGTTTTCAAAAAAGGAAAATATAAAATGCGATCTTCCTAGATTCTGATGATTTTTGTTTTGAACGTGGACCCTTGACGAACTACGGAGCGTCTTTAGTCCAAGGTGGATTTCACTCCCGCGCTGATAACTGTTGCCACCTCATGCAAATACCGCGGCATTTTCATACATTCGACAGTTAAAATGCAGTGTCTGTTTGAGGACAGGAAGAATTTAATGAAGTTTTGTGTATCAATTTAAAAGCAAAAAACGAAGAGATGTTCCTGAATTTCTTTTCATTTTTTGAAAGTAAAACTCGTGTGGAGGTTGGTAGTGCTGGCATATTTGTATCGATGCTACAGCGTCAGAAATTCAGTTTTTAAATGCTGTTTTCTTGTGTTTACCTTTCAAAACTCATTCTGTTGCGACATTTAATATCTGACTTGAAATAATCAACATTAGCTATTTCCTAGCCTAGTGAAGGAAGGGGCCCTTTGCTATGTTGCATTTCTAGTATACAGGGGTTATAGTGGGTACATAACCTAATCAGCGTTCCAGTTTCGCTATTTTTCCATCTGTCAAGTGTTGTTTACTGTAAGTTACTTGTCACAATATTGCTTAATGTAATAAATCAGGTGACTCAAATAAAAATGAACTGTATAATTGTTGTGTTGTATAATATGTAGTAAAGTACATGGACAAGCTTGTACATTTCTCTGGTCATCTTACCTGCTTATCATGTCTATTTTTGATAAAATTGTTTTCACATTTTCTGTCTAGCGTTCCGAAGATATGGAAAGTCAACCACAACCGAACAGGAATGTATAATTATTGCTGCTCTCGCAGCCATATGCAGATATCACAGGTAAGCATAAGATGAATATTTTGCGTTCACAGCAATTGATCAATTTTATGATTAGTAAGTTTTTTCATTTTGTTTATCTCATTTCAGTTGATTGAGAACGTGATGTATTACCTCGCCACTGGGTGAGGACATCTTTTTCTTCCATGATGTCAAATCAAATCAATTCTGTTCTATCTGTTCTTGACAGTAACCAGCAGGTAGTCATACATCATCAGCAGTTAACTCAACAGCAGGTATATACTTCCATTTTTTCTTCCTATCAGTAACACTGCTAGTGAAATTTTAGTGAAAGGCAGTTATCTTTGTCAGTCTTCCAATTTTTCATTCTGTTTGTACTGTAGGTTTCTCAAATGTCTCAAGATTACCAGCGGAATGAGTCAAGGAAAACAGGTGTGCATGTTAAAGGTATAAAGATTATAAAAGAGAAACAAAGTGGAAAGCCATCAGATGAGAAAATTGAATGGAATGAGGAAAGTAATAAAAAATGGACAGACCAGAGATCTTCTGAGGTGACAACTTACGTAGAAGATGATGTAAGCAATATTTTATTGCTTTAAAAGCATTTTTATGTATTTCCCCTGTCTATTAATTTTTTACTTTTATCATTAGATGGAAGTTCTTTTCCTGGAGGATACCTCATTGCCATCTACAGCAATCCAAACCTTGACCAAAGGTATAAAAGCATGACAGGACCTGATATTTAAGAAGGTTTTCAAATATTTCTAATATCTTATTTTGAAATTCAGGTAAAGTAATTCAGGCTAATGAGAACACTGATAGTGAGCTGGAAGAAAATAAAGAAAAATTTTCCAAGAAACGCAAAAAGAAACAACCAAGGTGAGAAATTACCCCATGTAAGTACCCATATATTTGTGGCATATGCTTTATTGATATTTTCACTTCCCTTTACAGCCCAGAGAAGAAAACTACTCATCTTGTGGAGCAGGTAGCATGTTTCAAGTGCAAATTTTGCCTATTCTTAAGTCTGAGTCAAGATGCAGTCGCTAGTCATGTTCAGAAAGAACATGCTTCACAAGTTCCTCATGAGGTATGGGTTGGCAATTTGAATTGGTGATACTCCTCCGATTAAGTAATATGTCACATTTTTAAACTAATGTTTCCTTTTGCCATCCAGAATAACAGCAGTATGCAATGCCCAGGTTGCAGTAACATATTCTTTTCTCAAAAGTCTCTTAGAGTTCACTTATCAGAAGATCATAATGTTGCTCAAGAAGAGCTAGAAAACATTCTTAGTACTTTTAAAACTAGTGATAATGTGGAGAAAGGTGAACCAAACATTTTAGGAAATGTTGAAGGAGACTTACTGACACCAAGCGCAGCAGATGAAGTTGGTGATAAAAGCAGTGCACCTGAAGAGATTCAACCAAAAAGATCTGCAAGAATTTTTCAAAGAAATAGTCAAACTTCTCCTCTTAAAAAAGCAGGTAGGTTTTTTTGTTTTTTTTTTAAATTTTTACTAAGGCACAGCAAATTTCTTGTGGTATTTCATTTTTTATTTTTCTCTTTTAGTTGGAAGACAACGTTCACAAACAATTTCTTCTGTAAGACCACCAGTTATTGATGAAACTCAAAAAATTCGAGTTCGCAAGATGTCCTCTTTAGAAAATTCTGAACAGGAGAAAAATCATGTTGAGTTTGTGGAGATAGATTCATCTAAACTAGAGTCTTTATCAGAGGAAATGCAATCGGAAATACACCTGCTACAAAACCCTACAGATGGTGACAATGAGGCAAACATCCACATGGAAGATATACAATATGATATAGACTCCATGCAAATTTTAGATATACCCCTAGACCAAGATCCAATTGATGCTCAGGGACATCTAATACAAGAATTAAATGAACAAAGTCCTGGGAGTGGAAAAACTCTTCATTCCATTGTGGTGGAAGGTGGACACAGATATACCGTTTCTACCTCTCCCACTTCTTGTGAAGCTGTTATTGATGAAATTTGTCAGGAAGAAGTTCTTGATAATGTTTTGTATTTTGAAGGAGGAGATGATAGGGACTCACCCCTAATGGTTTGTTTTGCTGCCTCTCCAGAGGATTTTTCAGGTAAGATTATGCCAGCACAAATCAAATCAGCTGTTGCCTTTTGATATTTCCTTTAAAACTTTTTCTCTCTCAATATTCTAAAACTACTTTCGATAAGCATGTTCTTTCTCACTTATGCATTTAATTTTTCAGGTCATGAAGAAGAGTATGATGTGGAAATGGAAGATGATCACACTAGTTCTTCATCTCTTCATAGGAATAGTGCTAACTCTGAGCGTGTAATATTAAGCAGCTGCTCATACATAGATGGGTCTGGCCCTGTGAGTGCTGATGGGAAAAAACTTGTCAAGAGAGGGTTTGTTAAACGTTTAACACCTAAAAAAAATGGCCTAAAGAAATCTAGGAATACTAAGAGAAAGAATGGAAATGCTAATGGGTCTGATGATGAGCCCACTAGTGCAGGATACAAGTGAGTTTCCAATGACATATTTTTTAATAACGTGTAGGAACTTCTTAGTATGTATGCTGACATATTTGATCTCATTCTACCAGGTGTAATGTCCATGGATGTATAGTGCGTTTACTTTCTCATGATAATATGGAATATCATAGACGCTGCCATACACCAAGTCATGTTACAGAAGATACTTTAAAAATAACATCAGGAGCAACTGATAACAACTGTGAGCCAAAAAGAGGACGACTTCTACGAACAAAACTTACTTTTACATGTCCGGAGTGTTCTACTGAATGCCCTTCTTGGAAACAGATGAAAGGCCACTTGTGGAAGTGTCACACTATTGATTTGGAACTGTATTCCTGTGATCAATGTGGTTACAAGACCCCTAGGTTTGTTCAGTTCTTTAGCTAATTTATCTTGTAGATAATTTCACCCTGAAGACAGCTATTAAATATTGAATTACTGCCTAAATACATATGTCAATTACTTTCTTCATCTTTGCAGCTTAAGTAACTTGAAGAATGTTCATTCAAAGATTCATGGAACTGAAAAACCTTTTCTCTGTGACACATGTGGAAAAGGTTTTAAGACGACTAAACAGTTACGAAATCATAAGGTTGGTAAATTCTTTCATACTTCCTATTTTGACTATAATCTTCCTTCATTCTTAAGAACTTAATATATTGACTGATAATTTGCACCCGCAGGGTATCCACATCAAGAAAGACGGCCCAGTGGAAACATGTGAAATTTGTGGCCGTAACTTTGGTTCCAATCGTATGTTGCGTAATCACATTAATACAGTTCACAACAAAGTGAGGCCTTATATGTGTAGTGAATGTGGGCATACAGCTGCAAATCGAAGTTCTCTCAAGATGCATTTAAGGCAACATACAGGTACTATAAATGTAATATTCAAAAGTGTCAACATTTGAGTATAAATTGAATTTTATTGAAGTTTGGGTTTATCTATGCAGGTGATCGACCCTATGGATGTGATCAGTGTGATTACACAACAGCTGATCACAATTCACTTCGGAGACATAAGAAACGCCATACTGGTGATAAACCATACAAATGTCCATACTGTACTTATGCTTGCATTCAGTCTACCACATTCAAAATTCACCTACGTACTAAACACCCAGGTATGCACTAATAAATGAAATAAGTGTTTTTCCTCTTGTAGTTCATATTTTGCATGATCTTAAATTGTGCTTACGAATGGATGTTGTTTTCATGGTGAATTCAGGTCAAGACTCTGATTTAATGTTCAGCTGTAAAAAGTGTCGTTTCCACTCTGTAAGTCGTGATATGTATCTATCACATGTTGCTGAACACGATCTCTCTGAGGCTTGTGGAATTCCATTTAAACCTGCAACTCGGCAGACTAAGAGGAGGGTAAGCTATACCAAACAATCACACATTACGTTCTGCTTTGAATATTTCAGTTTTTTATTACTTGGTATGTAACTGTACTTAATATTTTCTAGGCTAAGCGATCAAACCAGTCGGATGAAATGCCAGTTAAAGAAATTCCAATTTTTGTTAGTATAGCTTCTGATGATGCCGGAGAAGCCTGTGAACAACAAAATTTGGAGGTGACTCATCAATCAATTTCTA